CTGGAGTGTGAAAACTGAAGTAAGATTTCCAGTAATTCAGACTTTTCATATTTAAAAAAAAAAAATAGTTTTTGATGAAGTATTTGGTCATTGTTACCTTTGTTTCTTTTTTACCTAGAGACAGCAGCTAACACCTATAATATCCATTCTGTGGGAAAAACTTTTGTTGTGCAAATTGTTTTAGGTGAAAATACACCAAAGGAAAATATTTACTACGTAAACTCTTTTTATTAAGTAGATTTTACAGTGGAAATAGTTATAATCTGAACAAATTGGAAAGCTTTATTTTGATAAGTACAGTAGGGCCTCGCTTTACGGCGATTCACTTCATGGCGTTCCACTAATACGGACATTTCAAATTATGACCAAAATTCGGTATACGGCACTCCCCACCTGACTGAAATACAGTCACCACAAATTTCAAGTGTTTTAAAGTTATTTCATATTTTATATACACAGCCTCTCCTCACTGAGCGACGTACGCGTTTACTGACGCCTCGGACTTGCGATGGGCTCTGAGCAATATGCATGCCTAAATAATGTATACTAGAGCTGATTTCCTCTATTCTGTTTATTAAAATATACAGTACACTACTGTATAGATATTTAAAAATATACCAGAAATGTTATAAATGGTGCAAAGGTGATAGTAAAACAATATCAAATATCAAAGATAGCTGACACAAACCCACTACCATTGTAGTATGCTCCTCACTTAGCGACGAATTCTCTTATTGATGTGGTCTTAGGAACAGAACACTGTCGTTATGTGAGGAGAGGTTGCACTCTGATAGTTATACGTGTGTGTACCTGTACATAAATAAACTTACACGCTGTGCTGGCGTGCAGGTACACATTAAAATCAGTAGAGTGTCTTATATAATGAGGACACCATAATAATAATAATAATAATAATACAGCCTTTCCTCACTTAATGACGGAGTTCCGTTCCTAAGACCACGTTGGTAAACGAATTCGTCGCCAAGTGAGGAGTATACAGTACTATAATGGTAGTGGGTTTGTGTCAACCATCTTTGATATTGTTTTAATGTCACCTCTGCACCATTTACATTTCTGGTATATTTTTAAAGGTTAACACAGTAGTGTACTGTACGTACAGTGGACCCCCGCATAGCGATATTAATCCATGCAAGAGAGCTCATTGTTATGCGAAATTATCGTTATGCGAATGAATTTTCCCCATAAGAAATAATGGAAATCAAATTAATCCGTGCAAGACACCCCAAAGTATGAAAAAAAAAAAATTTTACCACATGAAATATTAATTTTAATACACACAAACTGAAAAAGGCATGCACAATTAAATGACACTTACTTTTATTGAAGATCTGTGATGATTGATGGAGTGGGAGGAGGAGTGTGTGTTAGTGTTTAGAAGGGGAATCCCCTTCCATTAAGACTTGAGGTGTCAAGTCCTTTTCTGGGGTTACTTCCCTTCTTCTTTTAAATGCCACTAGGACCATGCTTCAGAGTCACTGGAGTTCTGTCGCACAACATATCTGTCCATAGTGGCCTGTACCTCTCGTTCCTTTATGACTTCCCTAAAGTGTTTCACAACATTGTCAGTGTAATAGTCACCAGCACGGCTTGCAATAGCTGTGTGAGGGTGATTTTCATCCATGAAGGTTTGCACTTCAAGCCACTTTGCACAGATTTCCTTAATCTTTGTAGTAGGCAATTTCTTCAATTTCTCTCTCCCCTCCTTCGAACCAGTTTCCTCAGGTCTGGCCTCTTGCTGTTGAAGTTGATCTATCAGCTCATCAGTGGTTAGTTCTTCATTGTCCTCCTCCTCCACCAACTCTTCCACATCATCCCCACTAACCTCCAACCCCAAGGACTTTCCCAATGCCATAATGGATTCCTCAACTGGCATAGTATTCTCAGGGTTATCCTGAAACCCTTCAAAATCCCTTTGGTCTACACATTCTGGCCACAGTTTCTTGCAAGCAGAGTTCAAGGTCCTCTTAGTCACTCCCTCCCAAGCCTTACCTATAAGGTTTACACAATTGAGGATATTAAAGTGATCTCTCCAAAACTCTCTTAGAGTCAGTTGAGTTTCTGAGGTCACTACAAAGCACCTTTCAAACAGAGCTTTTGTGTACAGTTTTTTGAAGTTTGCAAATAACCTGCTGGTCCATGGGCTTGCAGGAGAGGAAGTGGTATTAGGAGGCAAAAACTTCACCTTAATGAATTTCATGTCCCCATAAAGTCGCTCTGCCACGCTGTAGGATGACCAGGGGCATTGTCTAACACCAGGAGGCACTTAAGTTCTAATTTCTTTCAGTCGGTATCTTTCACATTGGGGGCAAAGCATGGTGGTAACCAGTCATAGAAAAAGTCCCTAGTGACCCATGCCTACTGTTTGCCCTCACAGCACACACAATTTTCCTTGAGGACTTCTTTTGCCTGAACGGTCTGGGAGTTTCAGAGTGATACACTAATAAAGGCTTCACTTTGCAATCACCAGTAGCATTGGAACACATCAACAGAGTAAGCCTGTCTTTCATAGGCTTATGTCCTGGAGTGCCTTTCCTCCATTTCTTCCAATTAACAGGCACTGTTTCATCACAATTAAACACTTGATCAGGTTTCAGTCCTTCATTTTCTATGTACTACTTGAATTCCTGCACATATTTTTCAGTCTGCTTTGTGGTCCGAACTGGCAGCCTCACCATGCCTTATCACACTATGTATGCCACTACGCCTCTTAAATCTCTCAAACCAACCTTTGCTGGCCTTAAATTCACTCACATCACTAGTTGCAGGCATTTTTTTAATTAAATCCTCATGCAACTTCCTAGCCTTTCACTTATGATCACTTGAGAGATGCTATCTCTGCTATCTGTTTCTCATTTATCCACACCAATAAGAGTCTCTCAACATCTTCCATCACTTGCGATCTCTGTTTCGAAAACACAGTTAAACCTTTGGCAAGAACAGCTTCCTTGATTGCCTTTTTGTTGCCCACAATAGTAGCGATGGTTGATTGGGGTTTACTATACAACCTGGCCAGCTCGGAGACACGCACTCCACTTTCATACTTATCAATGATCTCTTTCTTCATCTCTATAGTAATTCTCACCCTTATTGCTGTAGGGTTGGCACTAGAAGCTTTCTTGGGGCCCATGGTCACTTATTTTGCAGATAAAATCACCAGAAACACTGTAATAATACGAAATGTTCCGATTGTATGCTTGGATGTTACCGCGGAGGCTGGCTGGTAAACAATGCCACCGGCGGAACATGTGAGGCTGGCTAAGGGCACACATTAGACACGTCTCGGACGAACAGCGTTGAGCGGGTTTTTTAGCGGTATGCGAGGCAAAATCTTGGCGATAAAATGTAGCGGTATGCGGATTTAACGTTATGTGATGCCAACGGTATGCGGGGGTCCACTGTATACTGAAATAAGCAGAATACAGGAAATCAGCTCTAATATACATTTAGGTATAAATACTGGTCAGAGAGCCCATCGTAAGTCCGAGGTGTCAGTAAACAAGTGCGTCACTAAGTGAAGAGAGGCTGTACTAAATATTATTATAATCATGGGGGAGCGCAAAACCCGTAGGATTATACAGCGCCTGGGGGGGGGGTTGGAAGGTATTAAGGCTCAATTCAGGGAACCGGAGCACAAATCCAATTCCCTAGATCAATAGCCCCTCACCAGTGTCAAGGAACCTCCCTTGAGGGGTATAATACTCAATAATAATCACTCTGAGGCACATTAAATGCCATATATTATATTAATACACACATTTTCATTAATCTATGATATTTTTTCAAATTATATAATAAACATGCTACGTAATATATAAACATGATAAATACACCCCACAGTAGAATAAATTTACATAAATATGAAATTTTTTCCAGTCGTCTTGTCGGAGTGTCAGAAAGAATAACATTTTCTATAGTTGGGATCCTCTATAGTGGGGACCTTCTCTAAGATACATTACTATGTACGACAATCAGCCCTACTCACACTATACTATTCACTCGCCTATCCCTACCTCACCTATGCCATTTGTGCTTGAGGATCAACAGCAGCAACCCACCTAAAACCAATAATAACCCAACAAAAAGCCACAGTAAGAATTATCAGGAAATATAATCCCAGGCAACACCCCCCCCCCCCCCCACTCTTCAAGGACTTAAACTTACTCACTGTTCAGAATATCCACACTTACTACTGTGCAACCTACATTTACACAACCATAAATTCCAATATTAACCCTGAACTAAAATGCTTTCTTGATGTAGGTGTGACAGGACCCATAGGCACAATAGCACAATACCAGATACAAAAATCTCTGACATTCCCAGTGTCCAGCTAAATCTATATAAACATTCAATGTACATTAAAGGGCCTAAAATCTGGAACTCCCTACCTGAAAACTCTAGAACTGCAGACTCAGCCACCATTTTCAAATCTACCATCAAAAAACATCTTATCTCCCTAACACACCCCACCAACTAACTACGTACATGAAAACCACCTATTTGTGCACACACTCACACATCCTCCTCATTTACACCTACACTGACCCAAATGATTGTAAACATATTATTCCAAATACGTATAGCTACTGCCTAATAAATCTCAAGCTAGTCCTAAGTTTGCCTAAGATGTTCCAATATAGGTGCTTTAATAGAAACTGTATCATGCCAAGACAAAACCATTCTCATTACTAATTTTACAAGTTGTTATACATGTATTCTTATATGTTCTGAACTACCTCACTATTGTAAATCCATTTAATCATTTGTAATTTGTAATATAGAGTAAGAATTATTACTAGTCTGCCCGAAATGTCTAGGCATGCTAGTGGCCTTCTTTGCAATTACATCTACCATCCGACTTACGACCGAGTTCAGTTCCGAGAAACCGGTCGTAAGTTGAAATGGTCGTAAGTCGAACTGAATATCAACAAAACATTTTTGTAATGACTTTATTTTGTTTTATTTTGGTATTTCATGTT